AACGATAAGTACCTGGGTAAGAGTTAGGGAGTGTTCTATTTTTATAAGATCTGTAACTTACTTTTCATGTCATTAATTGAAAAATGTCTTCTCCAGATGTTTTATGGCAATGAATATACAGATCTCTACCATTACATAATCAGAAGGTGTGGATAAAAAGTAGTTTGATAGAGTTGGAAATCAGTTTCAGAGCTACACATTACACCAAACTTTGGGTTCTCCTAAAGTCACGTAATACTCCCTGTTCTGCAGTTTCTAGGCCAGAAAAACATATACTAAATTACATTAATTCTGCTCTGTGTAGCCAGAATTACCAAAGGTTTTGGGTGGTATTTCTATTAATATTCCCTGAAGAATGATTTCATAGAGTATTTTTAAATTATCTGAACAGAAGTTATTTTCAAAAGAATAAAAGACATACTGATGTGTTCTCTTGAATCTCTTTCAGAAACTAATCCTGACATATTACACTATTTCAGGTTTTAAAATGGAGCCTACTTCTCATTTTTCTGTTCTCTGCCCTCTTCAGCAAACCACACTGAAGTTAATTCTATGGACCTGTCTGAAGTTAATGATCAAAAATTTCTTGAAGATGTAATGTGCTTTACTTCAGGATAAACAAAATTTCAAATAAAATATCAAGTGAAATAGAATATACATGGCTCCATCACACAACCAATAACCCACCTAGAGGGTTCAAAATTCAAGATCAAATAGCGTAATAATAATAAAAATGGCAACCATTTATTGGGCTTGTATTCCCCTCACCAGAGTACTTAGTTACCTTTTGATTTGCCAGTTACTACTAAAGGATTGTGAGGGCAGAATCCATATTTTGTTTTTTTATAGTCATAACCTCAGGACCTAGAAATAGTGACTGATTTACAAAAGAAGCTCTAATAAATGCTGAATGAATTAAAGAGTGAAAGGATGGATGCATGGTTTGCCTGAATCCAAAGAAAATGATTTCCACTCATTCTAACATGCTGTCTCTTAGGGAAAACTTCCCAGAGATCTGAGCAGAGAGTCAAGATTGTGATGCACCACTCTCAATTCTTACACATCACACAGAGGTACTTTACACTTAAGAACCCTCGTGGCTGCCTTGCCAGCATCTATTCCTTCTTGCGAAAGCTTCAGGGATCCACGCTTTTACAGAGGTTAACTGTACCCTCTTTGGAGATGGAGCATATGACTTAGGCTAAGCCAATCAGGGCATGTCATTCTATCAGCTGCTGTGGGTGGGATGGGTTTTGGAAGATACATACGTACACATGTACACATGTAGGCATATATACACATGCAGGCATAGTATATGCATGTGTGTAAATATATATGCATATTTATATATATCATGAATGTACATATGTATATAAACTATATCTCTCTAGTATATAAATTCTGCATTTCTTAATCCCATATATATGTATATTTTAAACTTTGTTTTGGGTTTCAGTTTCTTAACTCAATCTTTTCAATGTTTTTGGTATTTGTAAACATTTATCTTATTGGGATTAGCCTTTTTGTGATAAATCTTATCTAAGATATTATATTTCAACTCAGTGTTGAAGGCATTTTATTTTACTTTACTTTATAACTATAAAAACCACGACAGATAGAAAAGGGGAAGTGCTGAACTACCACATTTCATAAACAGGAGAAGATGGAGAACTTCTATAGTCAGCCACCTCTCTCAACGAGGTTCCAGTCTACCTAGCTCCAAAAACTATAACACTAGGACCAAAACCCCCAGGGATCATAAGCTTATTACACTTAGAGCATAACTGAATGGTATACCTGATTTCTGTGATCATTCAACCTTTACGAGAAACTTTGTATTTAAAAATCTATGACTAGTCACTTCAGGTTAAATTCAGATGACCACCTGGGATCTTACTCAACTTTCGGTCAATTAAACAATTTTTAGGCTGCCTTACATTTTATGTATTCCATTCTGCTTTTTCTCTAGATTCCAGGATTAGGCTTCTAACTTGAAAACACAAGATAAACAGTCACTGGGGATTTTCAGCCCCCTACGCTGTTTAAAGGCTGCTCTTTGGTGAGCTCTAATCTTTGTTCTCCTGTTTATTTTACCAGTTTGAGGGTTAGTCAGAAGGTAGAGAGCTCACCCAATTTTTTAGGCGTTCCTTATTTACATCTTCTTCACAAAACCTAGCAGTTCAGTAGCCCAGATATTTTACTTGATTAATGACAGACTTGAGCTTCTCCAAGTTCCTTCACAGGAGAGCAGTAGGGTTTTAGGCAAGCTCTTCTGTGAGTGACCACAGGTCCTCTGGTAAGAAAACACAAAGCTACCTGCAGGCTTTAGTGACCCTTCCTTGGCCTTTGGTTGACACAGTCACGTTTAGTTGATTAGATCTCAAAAACTTAGAATGTGAGAAACATGATCAACAGCAAACACACGTGGGTCACTCTGGGGTGGGTTTAGGGGGTCTGAGGGGTGGTTGGAGGGGAGCTGTGAGCATTTATATGTATTATGCTTATCATTCCCCTGCTTCTCTTTCCCAGTCCCTCAAATACACTAAAGCAATTCTGAACATTATTTAATCTTTACTTGATAATTTAGAAGGGTCTTCAGAGGTCATGGATCACAGATCTCTACTACACACACACCAAAGTGTTAAAAATTTGGTGCTGGAGAAAAACAAATGGGGTAAGTAAGCGTTAGTTAATTTAATATGATAATGGACTAGCAAGTAGAAATGGATATAAAAATTCAGACATTTTTTATATTTCAAATCACATAATACTTAATGAAGTAAATTATGAGTAAAACACAAAGCCAGGCACACACAGAAATCAGCTGAAAACAATGGGAAAGAACTCAGTTTTTCATATGGTTGCTCAATATTCTGAGAAAAATCTAGGGTCCCAAGCGAGCTTGTGTCTATAAATTTTTTTCTCTTCTAAATTACATTTAAATAAAAAAAAAGAAAAAAGAAAAAAAAAACCAATAACAAGCTTTGTTGGTAGGTCTATACCATTTTCATACATTCTAGGGGAGAAGGTAGTAAACAAAGTTTCTACAACTGTAAGTGATGCTTAGAGGAAAATTAAATCACTGAGTGATGCCAGGACTGATTATTCTACTGCACTTTAAAAGCAAGGGATTGCAGTCTGTGAGTCCAAAGTGGTTTCATATGGACTGCCACAGTTGTGGTTTACGCTTGAAACTATAACCTGTCAAATTAGAAGCAGGCAAGGCCTATGCTCTTAACGGTTCCACTTTTTACTGTCTATAGTTATGTCTACAAGTTCAGCATTTTTTATCCAGTTTAAACTCTGTTATTTGGATGAACAGAATCTCAAAACTACTCTTTGTTATCTTGGTTAGAGATTTTAGTTATGATACAAAGCTTAGAGAAACTGCCAATCTAATTTTTATTGTATAGGTGAAGCTGACTTTCTTGTAACTATTTTTATCAGCTATTGATATTTTATTATCCTGGTTACCACTATGTAATATACAATGTAACTACAGGGAGAGAAATATAAACCACATAAGCTCCCAAGCTTTTTCTATCCTGCACTTCCAAATATTTTATTTACTTGAACTTGTACCTTACTGGCTCATCACTCTTCCAGGCCTACAGTAGCCTGCTATTATGAGCTCAGTGTTACAACATGCTCCATTTCTTCTCTTCTCCTTGACTGTGAAATGCCCTTCCGGGCAACAGGCGTGGTTGACAGAGATCTTCCTGTCAAAACTGAAAAGCTACTTGTTCAATTTTACTACTGTTTTCTGTAGAGTCCTTCCTTAATAAATTTTTCTTAATGCCCGTTTGTATAATATAAAAATGTTTAAAAAATAAAGCATAAACAATATTTGCTCTCTGTGTAATGCATCATAAGTGAAACCATGCCACGAAACAATCATATCCTGTTTAGGCCATAATGACATCAGAAATACATGTTTATCATCTGCTTTGGACAACTTAGCATGTTTTTGGCCCAAGGCGAACTAAAATCATTTGCAGTTGCCTCAAACCAAGATAACCACACATTTCTAAGGTAATTGATACCTAAGAAGAACATTGCCTTTAGATCACAGTTCATGATCTAAGCATACTAATTCTTTAAAGAAGGTGGTTAAATTTTATAAAGCATATATGTCTATTGGACTTCCTCCAAAATTTAACATGAAATAATTATATTTTTAGCATGCACAGAGACTATGATAAAGTCAGCACTTAGCACGATCTTTCGGAGCTCTGGAATTACCTCTCTTGACCAATTTAAAGAGAAGGGGAAAAATGGAGGTTTGTTTTTTTACATGTAAAAGTATTATAAGAATAAGAATGATAAGAATAATGCCTTATATTTTAGAAGGCACTCAGATGAAATCAATCACTACTTTTATTTTTCCACAAGTATTTAAGGAAACCATTTTATGAATAGAAAGCTAGGGTAAATAGAAGGCATACAATTTTCATATTCATTGTTAAAACATACCCAGGGAATCCAAACACATGTCACTAACTGTGTTTTACAGTGATATAAAGCATGGAATTGCCCTGGATCCTACCTTATCTGGTGAGTCCAACCAGAGGCTGCAACTACAGCTGGAAAAATAGCTCTTCACACTATATGCCAACGCAAAAGCAGTAAGGATTACCTTTGTCCACAAAGATAACTGGATGGTTTGGTACAAAAACTAAGTAAATATTTAATTATAAACTAGCTTTTATGGAATAAAATAGTTTCAGTAAAAGTAAGATCCAGAAGGAAGCTTAGGGAAACCTACTCATATTCAAAGGAGGAAACAAAGAAACAGAAAACTGAAGTTGTTTCCCAAAGTCAGCTATGAAGGCAGAGTTTAACATCCTTTCCAGGGTTACTCCACTACACAATGCTGCCTTCAGACATGAAACCACTGATTTGGACATTTCAGACCACATTTAAAGAACATAAGAATAGAACCAAATAGTATATGCACTGCAGTTATTCTATTACCCTAAAAAGGGAAGCACGTACTATACCTCCATTCTTTCTTGTTTAACTTCATCAATTTCATCATCTTCAAACATTGCCAAGAGTTCTCCTGTTTGGTCAATGGAGTTGAGAAAGTCTTGAGCGATTTTTTGTCTTTTGTTCGCATTATTACTGCCACTCAATTTGTCTTCATGAAGATAAGGGAAGGAAAAAAGAAATGTTCTTAAATAGGTTTACATCTGCCCCAATCATATGTATTGAATACTGCATATAAAATTCGGAACTGGAATTCTCTCATAATAATCTTCGTAAGGAGAATCCTTGTATCCAAAACAAAAGCATAAGTCATGCAGAATTAAATCATCTATTTATGTCATGAATAAGATTGAGAGAATAAAACCAAATGATCAATTAGCACAATAAGTGTGAATGGATTAAAATTTCTTACCAAAAAAAAAAAGGAAAGACTCTCAGATTTGGAAAAAGAATCCTGCTACAGCAAGCCTAATTAAGAAAGTAAATAAAAACAAAGACATAAATAAAAAACATCAGGATTGAGACATGAAATTAAAAGAAGAAAATACTAGGTACACTACTGTGGCAATATATTTGAAACCTATGGGATGAGATCTTACTCTTTTTCTCATAAGAGATAAAACTACCATACTTATTTAAAAGCAAAACATAACTCTGAGAAAGTTACTGCAAAAAGTCAGGAAGGAAAGTAATGTTGCAAAAGGTAATTAATGCAGTTTAATACACAAAAGTATCAGTGTGAATTAGTGAGGAAGAGCTACATTATTTTTTAATGTGACAAACTGTGTGCTCCTATACCAAATAAAGACAACCCAAACATCTTAGAGTGAAAAAAAGCCTGTCACTCCTTACTCCAATACAGCTTTGTTACCACCCACCTCAATTATGTTGCTACTATCAAATATATTATACATCTATATATTATAGACACAATATTACAATTATATATCTTGTTTTATACAATTGCTTTTAAATCTATTAAGAAAGGAAAATAAATAACACAATTCTATATTCTCTTATATTTACCTACATAATTACCTTTTAGATACTCTTTTTTGTGTGTGTGTGTGTACGTGTGCGTGTGTGTGTGATGTGTGTAGGTGTGGATTCAAATTATTGTCTGGTACAACTTGCTTTCAGCCAGAATAACTTCCTTTAGTATTTTTTATATGGGTCTGCTAGCAAAAAAATTCTCCAGTTTTTGTGTATCTGAGAATATCTTTATTTTGCCTTCAATTTTGAAACACAGTTTTGCTGAACATGTTTCTTGACATATTTGTTGTTGACAGTTTTTCTTTTCAGCATTTGGAATACGTCATCCCACTGCTATCTGACCTGCATTGTTAATGAGAAGTCGGCTGTTAATATTGTTGAGGTTCCACTGTATTTGATGAGGTGATTTTCTCTTGCCTTTCACGATTTTCTTTTTGTCTTTGCCTTTCAGCATTTCTACTAGAATGTGTCTGAGTATGGATCGCTATAAGTTTATCCTACTTGGAGCTTGCTGAGCTGTTTGAATGTGATTAATAATTTTCATCAAAGTTGAGAAGTTTTCCATCGTTATTTCCTTGAATATTTTTTCTGCTCTTTTTTTCCTTCCCTTCTGTAGTCCCATTGCATACACTGGTTCACTTAATGGTGTCTCATATTTTTCTGAAACACTATTAATTTTTCTTCATTCTTTTTTCTATTTGTTCTTTAGACTGTATAATCTTTAATAATCTGTCTTCAAGTTCACTGATTCTTCCTTCTGTCAGTTCAAAGTTACTATTGAGGCCCTCTACTGAATTTTTCATGTCAGTCATTGTACTTTTCAACCGCAGAATTTCCACTTGTTTCTATAATTTCTATCTCTTAATTGATATTCTCTATTTTTGAGACACAGTAACCACACCTTCCTTTTGTTATTTGCACATGGTTTCTTTTAGTTCTTTGAACCATTTATAATAGCTATTTAGTTTCTGTCTGCTAAGCCTAACATCTGGACCCCCTCGAAGGCAGTCTGTGTTGTCTGCTTATTCTTCCTGTTTTTATGGATCATACATATCTGTTTCTTTGAATGTCCAGTATTTTGTTGTTGTTGTTGAAAATGGACATTTTAGGTAATATATTGGAGCAACTCTAGCTAATAATTCCCTCTCCTCCCTGGGGCTTGTTGTTATTGTTTGCTTGCTTGGTTGTTTATTTGTTTAGTGACCTGGCTGGGCTAATTCAGTAAAGCCTCTTTCCCTCGCGGTATGCAGCCTTGGATGCTGCTCCTCAGAGGGTACAGCCTTGAGCATGAGAACAGTCTCCTCAATCACCAGGGATGACTGTGGTTTTAGTCAAGTTCTCTTTACCTGTCACTTTTCCTGATCTCTCCACTAAGTTTCTGGCTGGTATGACTCTATTGGTATGATACACAGCTGTTATCTTCCACTAACTGCTGGCTGACAGTTCTATTGTTTTGATAATACTCTTGTGCATAAATTGCTCCACAGATTGATCTAAGTGATTTCAGGTCACTCTGCAGAGTCAAGGTTGGCCAGCTTTTAAGTTTTGCTCTGACCCCAGGAAGACTCTTTTTAGCTATCTCTTTCCTTTGTTAAACTTCTAGCTGGTGCACTGTTTTGTTTGTTGTTACTAGTATCACAGAGTGACCAGCTTCCCCTTAATTCCTCCACCAGGATCTCCATTGTTTTAAAACACCCTTAGCCATGAACTTCAAATGCTCTTTCCCAAATAGTCATTCCCTATAGGGAGAGCTGCAGAGCTCTCTGATATTAAGGGCTGGCTCTCTCTTACAGGATGAATCTTTGTACTTCTGTACTAGAGCTGGGGTTGGGAGTAGCAAGCAGCTTCTCTCTGAAAGACTTTCCTGGATCTAAGAGTGAGGATCCGGACAGAGATGGTAGCCCCTTGTCTTCAAGGCTTGTCTCTTCTGGTGCGAAGCTTATTCCCTGTGAGCAAGCCAGGATGTGGCAAGCAGGGTCCATCTGGGGTAGAGCTTCCCTATGACTAGAAGATGAGAGGAAGGCCCAGTCCTTTTAGCTGTGCTTGCCTAGCACAGAGGGTCTGCAACACAGAGATGAAGGAGATGAGAGATGCTGATCTCCTGCCCCTCTTGGGGTGAACCTGTCACCCTAGATTGGGAGGTACAGAAGCAGATGTCCATGGTTCTTGGACACATCTGCCCAGAGTAAAGCTTCTATCATTTTGATCTGGGGCAGCAGGGTGGGAGAGGAGGAGAGAAATGAGGGGAGTATATTGTGGCTCAAACACAACAGAGTCTCATTGTTCTTAATGAGATTTAGTAGATTTTTTTGAATATGTTCCTCCATTTGCTGTCTGCCCTTAGGACAATTTCTAAAGATTTTAAACTATTATTTTTAAAATGTTCACCAGTTAAATGTGTTTCACTGGGAAAAGAGTCTACCACATTCCTCACAAGGCCACTCTAGAACTCCCATCTCAGTATTAGATGTATTTTACCTGAGTATTTTACCTTACAAATTATATCAACTACAGTGAATCCTTGAAGAACACAGGTTTGAACCGCGTGTATCCACTTACACATGAATTTTTTTCATTAAATACGTACTACAGTACGTGACTCTATGAGGTTGGTTGAATCTGGGGACATGGAACCGCATACATGGAGGGCCAACTGTAAAGTTACAGGCAGATTTGACTGTTCAGACAGTTGGCACCCCTAACCCCTGCATTGTTCAAGGGTCAACTGTATTTTAAAACTTTATATGAGACACACAAGATTAGAAAATTTAAATGATAAAGAGGAGAGGTTTGAAATAAATAAGGAGGTGAGGACATAAAACTGATATGACAGTGTTAGTAAAACGGAATACTAGTCTCACTACTCTGAGCTTGGTATTCAAAGCATAGTATTAACAGCTATCACTTATTCAGTGGTGGGAATGTATCAGGTGCTTTTCATACATTATGTTGAACTCTCATGGTCAGTAGTATAATTTATGACTTACAAATGAGAAAACTGACCCTCAGGGACACATAGAAAGAAAGCAGAGAACTGGGATTAATAGGAATTTAGGTCTGTTTTGCTCCAAGTCTAGATTCTTTATGCTCTCCATAAAGGGAAGCATTAAGTTCATTTGGAGTTAAATTCTATGAGAACTGCAGGAATACTAAACAGACAACACTGATTAGACATTTGATCAGAATTTTTTTTGGCATGGCCATTACACTTGCTGACTTACTGAGGATCAATGGGAGTAACTGGGTCTCTTTCAAAGTTAGTTAACTCTTCAGTTGGTTTTTGTTGTTTTTTGATTCAGTTGGTTTTGAGCAATTTTCTGGAATTCTTCTGAATACAGTAGAGTTTGTTTAGCTACTTTAGCAGTGTATCTACCAGCAAAGGATACTACCATGCAGTGACTATATTCAATACAAAATAGATGAATTACTTCAAAAATACAACATATTTATTTTGATTAATAAGTATTATTTAATAATTATCTATTTTCAGCTTATCACTATTTGATTTTGCAACATAAATATTTTCTTTAAATATCCTAAAATGGGGAATTGAGTTGGAAAATCAGCTAAGGAAAATTTCCCATTCTGTGTCAGACTTTTTGTTAGATTTCAAACAGCACAGAAATAACACATTAAAATGAGGTGACTTTACATTATAAAACATATCAGATACTTTGTATAATAAATTAACAAAAAAACATACATGCCAATTTCAAAAATATAAAAGTTCTGGCTCCCTCCATTCAGGACAGAAAAATTATGCTTGCTAAAATCAATTATGTTTTAAATCAACACAATTTTCTTAGTTGCATGACATTCTGGTGTAAAGCAGGTCATTGTATTAAAAAAAGAATTAAAATACCAGATTACTCTGAAGTCACATAATTGGAAAATACAAGATTTAACTGCCAACTATATAAATATCTGCACAGTTTCTAAACTACATTATTTAACAGAAGTACATATATTCTACTCTGATGGGAATATCTACATTGACATTGTATAAATGTGTCATCAGCATACATGTGTCGTACTGCTTTTAGCTTAGTGCTTTAAGTTACCTTCCAGAAGATCATCCTCGTCGATGCCTTTGACAATCTTTGATTTGTAGTCTCGGAAAAACATGTATTTTAGCAGTCTTCTAAGTTTTTTCTATTAAAAATATGAAATAAGTAAATAAAAAACCTTACACATACATTCGTTTTATTGATTAAAGACTACTATGATAACTAAATTTAATAACGTGTACCCCAGGATCACTGTGGGGGGGATATAGCAATTCTCAGCATAGTACTGTGAATACAAAATTTAGTCATCAAATTAAACATAAAAGCTACAACACTAGCATTTTTTTATTTTATTTTATTTTTTTTTGCGGTATGTGGGCCTCTCACTGTTGTGGCCTCTCCCGTTGCGGAGCACAGGCTCCGGACGCGCAGGCTCAGCGGCCATGGCTCACGGGCCCAGCCGCTCTGCGGCATGTGGGATCTTCCCGGACCGGGGCACGAACCCGTGTCCCCTGCATCGGCAGGCGGACTGTCAACCACTGCGCCACCAGGGAAGCCCCAACGCTAGCATTTTTAAAAGCACTTTTCATTTGCAAGTATCCAGATACTCCAGAATCACAATGATTTTTGTTTTGGGGGTTTTTTTGGTTAAATTCCTTCTGAAGATTGTGATAAACTTTCCACACTATGCTGCAAATACTGACTTTATGGAATTTTGTACACATTCAGAACCAAATTTTATTTTTTAAAATGATTTACAAACAGCTAGACAAGGAGTTTGTAACAACTGCTTTAAAAAGCCAAGCACTCTCCTTTTTATTGTTTTTTTATTCTCTGAGAATCTTTTCTTTTATTTAGAAGAGTTGGTTTATGTTTTATATTTCTGGAAAACATTCTGTAATCTGAGAAACATATTTTTATGAAACTCAAAGCTGATGAATGATAGTTGAGTCTTAATGATGGCTTTCTTTAGGTTTATTAGAAGACTATAATACTGTTTAACTTTAAAAGTAACTGATAATACTTCGTCATCTGTTGTATGCTTACATTTAGAATGGATTATTACTGGTTCCTGGTCTTCATGTTTAAGATTCCTAATGACAGCTGAAATAAATTGTATTTTACAAAGCTCTTTTACATGCATTCTATTTGAAATTTTCAATAGCCCTGAGATACAGACAAATATAATCATCTCCTTTTTATATATAGGGAAACCGAGGTTAAAGATAGTCTCACAACTGAAGCTTATAGCAGGACCAGAAGTAGAACATGACCTCTGAACCCCAGTTTCCTTATTTACAAAGTAAGTAAAGTACTTACCTTAGAGGACTATTGTGAGGAATAAATGAGAAAATGAGTGAAGCTGCCTAGTGCAGTATGGAAAACACAATAGGCAGTCAATGACTTCTGCTTGAATATAAACCAGCATTATTAAGAGAAAAAACATATACCTGTATATAGGTGTTTGCTATCCTTTTTTTCTCTTTCCTCTGATTCCTGAAAATTCAGTACTTTAGATTTTATTTTGTCTTATATTACAGTCATGTAAACTGCTTTAAATTCTGTTTGGAACACACCAGCATATAAATAAAATTATTATTCTGAGGAGAAAGATGAGAATACTGGCAACTATCATATTACAGCTAGGCGCTTGGTTGCTAAAAAGGTTCTGATTAACAGTCCTTCTAGACAATAGAAGGGTTTTGACAATCAGTGTGTATTCCTGAAGTTTCCATAGGATTTAAAACTTTGACTTCCCCGAAAGGCAGGAAAAAGTGTCAATGTGGACTATTTTTTGTGCTGGCTTGTTTACCTCTGTCGATGGAAAAGAAAAACTGACTGGACATATTCTGTAAAGTACTGATGCGAACTCCACTGCCCTCCAGCTGCCTTCGTAAAGGATCTTGGCTCAAGGTCCCTGTTCCTGCCAACGGCACCTTCAGGCTCTTTCCTCACAGCACCACTGCTATATGGTGCCTACTTCCCCGTCTTCCTAATGAAGTCACTAAATCCTGAACATTCTTACTCTTCACCATCTCTCTGAATTCTTCCTTCCCATCCACTTTCAGAGCCATCATACTAATCACAGTTTGCCTTGATTACTGAGCCTGCATCCTGGTTAGTTCCATTCTACATATAGCTGCATACAGCTGCATGAGTCTCACCCTAGGCAGAAACCTCCACTTCAACAAATCCTACAGCCTCTCCAATCTAATCACACAACCTTAAAATGCTGTGAGTCTCAAAATGCTTCTTCAACTAAATCATACAGATTTCCTAAACCAGATTATAGCTTCTTGACAGTGAATACATTTCTTTTCTCTTTATAGTCCTCATACCATATAAGAGTTAATGAACTAAAAATTTATAAAATTTAATGGTAGACTGGTCGAGGTGCAATTTGTAGATCTCTGAATCCCACTGCAGAAGGAAGAGAAGTTTAGGCATCCAAGTTTAGTCAATCTCCAGTCAGTCAGAAGGAAAGCTTTCACAAATATAAAATAACTGGGTATCACAGAAAGAATGTTAACCAGGATATCCAGAAGGTCAGATGGGATGCCTTCTGATAAAAACCAGAGCCGCAAACATACAAAAATGGGTAAATGTAATTAAAATGCCAGGGGAAAACAATGGAGAAATGAAAGATGGAACATTAGGAACTAAGCACCGCGTGCTCACTTGGGTTAGAGTCTACCATAACATGCTGTGGTTATTCAGTTAGTTTTTCCACATGTAACTTTCAGATGAAAATTTTATTAAAAACATGCAAAATGTCACAAAATATTTTCAAACTAGCTACTCTTGGAAGATAGTTATGACAAAATTATACATGTAAATACCAGCATAAATATTTTAATGCCAGAGTTCAAAGAGTAAGAAAGATAGATCTTTATTAAAAAACCTAGATATTATGGTATATATTTATCTTATACAATATTCATCTTGATTGATTTGCTTTTTTCCTTTTAACCAGTGTCACAGAAAAAACTTTGTATTTCAAGTGAAAAAACTATTCTATGAAAGCCTGTATAAAATTAGAAGAAAAATAAATATGCCACTTAGTTATATCCCAGTTACCAAAACAAAGCACCTGGTCAATATCTAGTGAACATTATGTAGCAGTGAAAATGTCTAAATATATATTTAAGGATAAGTGAGAATTCGTTGTCAGCATACTTTTATGTAAGTGCCCTTGTCCATGTAAAAATAAATTCTTTTGTAGTAAACCATTTTCTTATGCAAACTATGAGGACTCAAATATTAGTTCAACAGTTATGATTCCAATGTGAAAGCTATAAAACAAGGGTAGCTTCCTTACATAAGTGTAATTAATCACCAAGCTTGGCATTTCAATATGATGAAATTATTTTATATTACCTTATCTTTGCGTATCAAAAACAGAAGATCTTCAGCAGAGATTACCCTTGCTCCCCGGAGCTGAGAAACTTCAGCAGCTTGCTGTAACTAACAACAAAGGAAATTTTTCTCAATAATCTAAATTAAATATACTACAGTCATGATGTCTCAAGAGAGATAAACATTCTAAGAGTTAAAAACCTTTGGGAATAATCCAGCAATCACAGTACTGCTTTTGAAAGCAAAATGTCTTATGTTTTAAGGTATAAAAAAACTGCAATTAAATTAACTTATACGCCTACCTGTAACTGATACAATAAAGAGAAATCCTTGACTTCTTTCATGCAAAAGAAAAATCATATGCAGCTTCCAGAAATGCATTAATGCACCTGAAAATAATTTTATGAAATTTTATCCTCATATCCATGTGAGCAATGGTTTCACTCAGTATCACTAGTTGAATAAGTATATTATTAATCTGAGCTCCCATGCTGGTATGATTTGAAATAGGCCCATTCAGAACTTTAAAAGATCAACAAAAACAGTAGCTGTTTCTAATATCCAAAGGAAAAAAAATAGTTTTAGTTTTGGCAAGTCTTCAGTGGGCAAAGGATTCAGTCCATAAATCATAATACTGGACTGCATTAATTTCTTTCCACACTAATCACATACACACAAAAAGTTAACTGTATCTGGAATGCACAACACAAAACATACTGCATGAAAAGTTAGATTCCCCCTGAAATGTTCATCTGGGCACTTATATCTACAAAGTTGAGAGTTTTCTGGGATTCAGAAGTCCTAGAAACACAATCTTACTTGAAAATGACCTGGAAAATAAAAGAATGTGAAAAATGATAGTTCTATTTTTTGGCACAGGCAAAATCAGTTTCTTATTTTGATTAGTTAGAAGGAACATAAAATACATCCAGCTGAAAAAAATAAAGATGCTGGAGAAAACACTGCAAAAATGTGCCTGTAACTTCTTCCAAATTTGATCAAACCATGGTGATTGCACCAAACCAACTCTATCCAATATTATAAAAATATTTACATATAAAAGCTGTTCTTGAATGCATCTTTCTTTGAAAGGAATAAATCTAACACATATTCCTAAGAACTAATCTTTAAAAAATGACACACTGTTATCTTAGCAAGTATAAGAAATCAAATAGTGCATTTGTACTAAAGAAATTCTGAATGGTCAAGAGATTTTGCTAAGTAAGCTTCAAACCTTGTCTAAATACACAGACTACAAAATAGACTATAAACTCCCTATGTGTCAGCCTTACCACTGAATTTCCTGGATACTGGTGGTTGGTATATAAACATAATTCTACCTAAATATAGAAATTTAAATTTAACTGTGAACCATTTAAAAAGAAATCTTGGGGGAAAGGTTTTTCAAAAGATGATATATCTACCCAGAAAGAAACTAAGTTTTCAGTGGGAAAAATGTGAACATATTTTTCTAAAAACTCGAAGAATGTCAGGGAAATATGTGTACATGTGTTTTTTCAAACAAAAACATTTCTATGACAGAATAAAATACACATAATCAATGTGGAGAAGAATATGGGCTCAGTATCCATTTGTCTGGACACAGAGAACCAGGAGGCCGCACTGTCAAGTAACTTTTTATTTTCTTAAATGGAGGATGGTGATGATTTGAAAACTCTAAAATACTATACAGATACAAGTAATTTTACTCATGTTAAGAAAGGACCAGGATAAGTGTACCTCCCTAAATTGTCTTCCCAATAGATCAACTGTTTATCCACAACACATGTGAATAATCTGTATTTATAACACTCTCCAAAATGTCAGTGTATAAACACATTCAGTCGGAAAAAAAAGAAGAAAATGGAAAATAAACACATAGAAGAGTTAGCCATTTTAAAACACCTTTTCGAAACCAGTACACAACTATTGTAGAGATCTGGATCACAGTTAGGTTGTCATAATTAGCAGGAAAACTTTATCTTTAGCTTTCATCTACCTTATTTACTAATTTCCCTCACCCAACCTAGTGCCCTCACTAGCACTGGCACTGCTGGCACTCTCCAGGATGCCTTGGACTCCCACGTAGTGAGTCCTCAGGGCTGAAAGTTATCATTGTGTTACTGCACCGCAAGCCCATCTGGCCCCGACGTGTCCCACACTCCAAAATCATCTCCTCCACACTCTCACCTCCTCTTCTCTACAAAGTGAGGAGGGCGAGCTTCTTAACTAATTACAGTGATCACACTAAAGTGTGTATTGCCCACTGGCTAACTTCTAGAACTTTTGTCTACAATTACCAAAGAGACTAAAGAAACTTCTCTTTAACAACGTAAGCTTAAAAAGCAAGTTAGCAGCTTGGCAGTCCAATTCCACAGGAGGCTGAGCTCAGGACCAGTGCACTCAACGTGAAAACAATACTAGAACCAGGAAACCAAAATCAAGAAATATTTCTAATACCTTCAGTGTTCAAAAAAAAAAAAGTTGATTCTATCAATATATTGTAAGAAACCCCTCAATGTTTTTAATCCCTGAAAATAAACGGAAGTTGTACTTCATTATTCACTGCAGCAAGTCAAGTATTTCTGGCAGTAACTAAAATGACATGAAATGATAGTAGATTTTATAATTTTTTTATTACAGTGAAAGTAGTATACATTTAATTGCATTTATAAAATATGCAAGAATTGACATAGCAGAGGAATCCTTTAAGACCAATTACTGGTTGAATGGGTATACAAATTTTCTTAACTATATGGATAAAGGTATGATGATAGTAACTTTATAGAGATTTATTTGTAACTTAGTAAAATATTTTGCTAAAAGCATTATTATACAACAGGAGCACTTTTACAGCATTGATTTGTTTCTGATAAATATTATTTCTATTTTTCAAAGTAAATTAAAAATATTATACTTGTAACAACTGTTTCAAAGAAAAAAATTTCCCCTAGCATATTAACACTCATCATGTTTGCATTTTAAATATTTTATGATACTTTATTTGCAGGTTCAGCATAAAAGGTACACTTTAAACTTTACATCTTTCAGCCCACAAATAAATCTCTTCTCAGTTTCTCATTTCTATCAATGACACTAACAATCGAACAATTTTTTTTCCTCTATTTTATTTTCACCAACTTCTGTTGATTTTGTTGGTTTAATTGGCTCAGGGTCTTGAATTTGCTCTCTACTTCCACAGTATTCATCTGGATGTAGGCCTCTGGGGCGTTTTGCTTACTGCTTTCTAAATTTCAATGTCTCCAAATGGTGATGTACCCTAGATTAAGTGTTAACATGATCTTCTTCAAATATAACGTCCACAATTCTTGTTCCAGGATCTATGATAATTCAGTGTACTGACTTCAGTGTGGTCTTTAAAGACTGACTGACTCAAAGATTTTTTTCCGTATACCTTCATTCTCTTCATTATATGTCTTGTTTTTCTGTCATTATTCTACATTTAAGCTCCAATAATTTCAGTTCTATCTTAAGCCTTTGTGTACTTGTGACAGTTAATTTTATATGTCAGCTTGACTGGGTTACAGGGTGCCCAGACATTTGGTCAAATGTTAATTCTGAGTATGACTGTGAAGGTATTTCTGGATGAGATTAAGATTTGAATCCCTAGGCTGGGTAAAGCAGATTGCCACTCCCCACCACCAGCCCCTGCTACTGTTAGTGGGCCTCAACCAATCAACTGAAGAGGTGAATGGAACAAAAAGGCTGAATAAGAGGGAAGTCCTTCTGCCTGACTGCCTTGAACTGGGACATAGACCTTTTCAGCCTTTTGACTTGGACTAAACCGTCTCTTAGTTTTCAGGTTTTTGGATTTGGGCTCGAACTACATTCTGTCTCTCCTGAGTCTCTGGCTTGCCAACTACAGAACTCGGGATTCTCAGCATTCAAAGCCATGTGAGCCAGTTCCTTATAATAAATCTATCTGTACACATACACACACACACACACACACACACACACGTATCCTATGGGTCTTTATCTTCCTCAACCAGTTAGATACCTAATGCTCTTGCCTCCCAACTTCCGTCTGAATAATATCTCTAGGTCCAGGACCACCATTCCCCCAACAGGCAGTTTATAAATGTTTGGTAAATGTTGGCAATCCACTTCCCCTTGACTGTTTTCAGTTTTCCCATCTATAATATAAATAAATTGAGCTAGATGAAGTCAATAACCCCTGCAAATTGGCTGGGGCCCATGTAAATTCAGCAGAAAGAGTTCTCTAAAGTTCTAAAAGGTTTCAAAAGTACAGCAAAATCAGTTCAATGATTTCCCAATCATTAGCATCCTGAAGGTGTTTCATTTTAACCACACCTCTATTGCACCTCTTTGTTTTGGATTCTGGCTAACTCTCTGGATCCTTCCTTTCTGAGAATAAATAGTAAGTGAATACATAGTACATATAGGAATGGTTAAAAGCTATGTGATGAAGAGGCAAAATCTTAGGGTAGGTTATCACGTGGCCTAAGAGTTATTTGTCTTTCTATCCATTTGTCTATCACACACTAGTTATCGGGCCAGATATGAGGTTAGGCTAGGAAAGAACAGCTCTGCTTGCAGCCGTATTTGTCAGCCACGGATAACCTCAAAGACCCTCTCCGAATCCTCCATGTTGTGACTGAAAGAATTAAGAGACAGGAAATCTGGACTCCAGTTCTGGCCACTAAGTAACTACATAACTTCAGATACTTCAAATAACTTCCCTAGATTTGTAGCCTTATGTATTCTTTTCCATTTGAAAGGGATAAGCAATGATTTTAATGACTAGAAGGAGAGTTAATAAAAAGTCTTAGTAGTAATAATTTATTAAGTACCTAATTTATTCTTAGGCAGTACAGGAACTGTGCTATGTGCATTATAAACATTTAATTCTAATTTTAAAATTATTATCTAAGTTAAGGGCTTCCCTGGTGGCGCAGTGGTTAAGAATAAGCCTGCCAATGCAGGAGACACAGGTTCGATCCCTGGTCCAGGAAGATCCCACATGCCGTGGAGCAACTAAGCCTGTGCGCCACAACTACTGAGCCTGTGCCCTAGAGCCTTCGAGCCACAGCTACTGAAGCCCACGCGCCTAGAGCCCGTGCTCT